CCACATGGCCTAATCAAGTTGACACATAAAATTAACCATCACAAATCCAACCCTTGTCAATTTGGTACCTATGTGTATATCTTCTTAAATGACACTTCATCTTCACTTACAGATAATAGCAAGGTCATAATTCTGCCTAATATATAATTATGCTACACACAACCAGAAATGCACTAACACCTTCCCAGAAAAGGAAGTAAAGTCTTCGAGTGATGTTTTCTCCTTGTAATTTAAATATTATTATGTAAAATTAATACTTATATAATACTGTGATATAAAGTTAATGCATCTTAATATTACATATAGGAATAAGAGGAAAGGAGATAGAGATAGAGATACACAAACGTATTCATAGCAAAATTAAAAGGAACTACTCATGACCATTACCATTCTCGTTTCTGTAACATGTCACATGGTCATAGCTAGTATTTATGACGACCTTCTTCCAGTACTCACTCTCTATTCACTTTGCCTTCAACAAGTACCTCAGCTGGTCATGGTTCTTTACTTTGTGGGGTGACCCAAACCTTCATTTCTGAAGGGTCTGGGCCTTTAGTAATTTTTCTTGGATTGGGTTGTTACAATTTTTCATTGACCTTAATCACGGGGCATGGTAATAATAAAAGACACCTTCAAGGATTTTCTGTATTCCAGACATAGTCTTCCTAATCTCCGTTGTGGAATAGTAGTCCAGTTTCTCCTTGGTAGTCAAGATCAGTCACCTCAGCCAGCACTATAACTCACTTCTTTGCCTGTTGCTTCAGAGGCATAAGGATCCCAGAGTGGCTAGGTGAGTCTTAACTTAAGTTTAGTGAAATCATTGTTGTGTCTGTTGGTGGAAGCATTCTTCCCTCTGGAACTAAGACTTCTAGAACAGCAGAGTATAAAGTCTCAAAGCAGATATTTTGCTTATGAGTCACTAGGGTAACAGTGATTGGTGTCACTCCTATTTCCACTTCTTGATGCCTGTCTTTATGAATCCTTATTATGGGAGACACAGCACCATATATTGGGTGCTGATTCAGAGCGTACTCATACTTCTGGAGAACCTTGCTCCAGCCCTGCAAGGTATTGCCACCTTGCAGGCACTGTAACTGAGTCTTCAAAAGGCCATTCCACTGTTCTATCAAACTGCTTCAGGATATTAGGGAACATAAAACTAGTAAATTCCACTAGCACGGGCCCATCTTTGCACTTTTGCTGTGAAGTGAGTTCTTTGACCAGTTTGCAATACCATGCTGGTAGATAAGGCATTCTGTAAGTATATGGATGATAGTTGTGTTAGAAACATTGTGTGCAGGAAAGGCAAATCCATATCCACAGTAGGTGTCTATTCCAGTAAGAACAAAATGCTGCCCCTTCCGTGATAGAAGCAGTCTAGTGTAATCAACCTGCTACCAGGTAGCTAGCTGGCTGATCACCCCAGGGAATGATATCATATCAGGGTTTTGGTGTTGGTCTCTGCTGCTGGCAGATTGGACACTCAACAGTGGCCATAGCCTTGGTGAGTGAAAGTCCATGTTGGTGAGCCCATGCATAACCTCCACCCCTATCACAATGGCTGCTTTGTTTTTAAGCCTACGGGCAATAACAGGAGTGGCTGGGGAAAGAGGCTGAGTGGTATCTCCAGCATGGATCATACTATCCAACTGCTTTTTTAAATCCTCTTCTGCTGAAGTCACCCTTTGGTGAGCATTCACATGGGACACAAATGTCTTCACATTTTCAGCCCATTCAGAGAAGTCTGTTTACATATATCTTCCTCACATTTCTTTGTCACCAGTTTTCCCTTCTAAATAAAACCAAGGCATGTCCAGCATTTCTGATTCACTCATTATGGGCAACCTTTTGGTCCATGTTTCAGTCAACCAGCCAAACAAAAGATAGAGTCTTTTCTAGCTCCCCAGGCTGCAACAATAAATGCAGAATCTGTTTAGTGAGCCTATATCAATATTAGGAATTGATTCCAATGAAAATACTTTTTGTCTAATAAAAATGCATAAGAATATAATTGGACAGGGATAATTGCTGTATAGAAAAATTGATAATGGGATGGAATTGGCTTAGTGAAGTTAGAGTCATTCTGAATACTTTTAAAGGTATATCAATGCTTGCATAATTTTCAGTAACATGTCTGTATTAATAAACATAGAATCAAAACTTCCTCAGGCTCAAAATAGTAGGTTCCAGGTGGAGGAATTGTAAAAATGCCTTATTCATTACAAGTCAATGTGAAGGTAACATAAAATATTAAATAATACTCACTGTAAGTGCTACAATGAATAGGAGGGGATATATATAGGACTATTTCAATAGTCCAAAGAAAGAGGAAGGCATGAATAGAAACAAAGACAATAAAGATGGAGAGGAATAGACAATATCAAAATATTTGGAAGAAAAATTACCAAGGTTTTGTGATTAAATGGTGTGAGTTGAATAGAAGAGGGGAAGTTTTGACTTGGTCATATGGTAGATGGTCGGATCCTTTGCAGAATAGTAAATATGTTAGCAGGAAAAGATGGGGAGTTCAGTTTTAACATGTTGAATGTGAGATGGATACGAGGTTAACCAGCTGCAGAAAACCATTAGGAAGTTGTGAATAGGATCTGTAGCTTAATAAAAAGATCTGGGCTGGAAATATGAACTTGAGAGTCATCACTCTGTCTATATTGTCTATCATCTGTTGTTCCCGGAGTTCCATTACTGTATGTTTTCTATCCCTCTTCCTGTCCCTCTTTCCTTCTACTTTCCCCTTTTTGCTATTTTATAGATGCTTCCTTGGTGATTTCATCTATTGCCTGTGTAGACTATATATAGACAATACCTGTTACATATAGACAGTGAAACTGCCTAAACATACAGACTATATAGACAGTGGATGAAATCACATAGTGAGAAAACTAACAGAAAAATTGAGAGAAAACAAACAATATTGAAACCCTGGGGTCTACTGATTGATACACACACAGAGACAGACATCGATACCTATCAAGTAGAACTGGCAGAGGAGACAGAGAAGATAGGCAAGAGAACCATGGAAGAGTAACATCCCAAGATCTGAGGGAGGAGAAAGTTTTAAGTAAGAGTAGTCAGTTGACTGTCTAGTGAAGGTAAGAGCTGAAAGAAAGGGCTTTCATTGAGTTTTTATGTTGTTGCAGGGTATTGATATTGTCAGTGATTAGAGCAGTTTTATCAAGAGATGAGGACTAAAGCTAGTTTGCAGTGGGTTGAGGAACAAATGGGAAGTATGAAAGGGGAAATAACATGTATAAACTATGGAACTTAGAATTTGTTCCTTTAACAACAGAGGACAACTAGAAGTTTTGTAAATTTTATTGAAAAAAAAAATTTCCCACTATTAGTACAGTTCTTTGTGCTTAGTTGGATCAGTTGGTTTATCCCAGATCAATGAGTCTATTCTTATATGGGCCATTTGGGTTTAATGTATTCCTGGGGATCTCCTAATATAGAGTCTTGGCAAACAAACCTGAACTACAGTTGTCAGGTATTTAGATTAGGGCAACAAAACAAAACAAACAAACAAACAAAAACCTAGTATTACTCAAAAATAACTATGATTCATTTAAACAAAAATTACAATACCTGCAGTTTGGATATGGTCATTCCAAAAGAGTGATTTTTCCCTATTTGGTAAGGTAAGTCTTTGCCAAAGCGATATACCTGTTGCAGATGTACTTCTTGTATTGAAATATTGGTTTAATAGTATCAGAAAATTACTAGGAGAAATAATGTGTAATACATTGAATTAAAAAGTCATTTGTTTACTGAGTAAACTGTTCATTTAAAAAAATGACATCTTTTTGGGTAACTAGGGCAATTATATTTTAATTAAGCACTTAATGGTTTTTTAATAGAATTCTAGTTTGACATCTATTTTGTTCCTAATATATTGAAGAGTAAAAGAAATTCTTTACTCATGCTACTTCAGTAGGGGATTGCTCCCTATGACTCTACTTTGGAATTTTGAGTTGCCACTTTGCTACATGAATTAAATGTGAAGTGATAGATTATTTTAGGAAGTTTTTTATAGTGGTGAATTGATATCTTTTTGCTTTTAAAGAACAACTTCTGTATAGAAACTGGTTTAAAAAGAAATTTCTTAAGTGGCTGCATTGAATTCACATTATAGAGTAGGAAAGGAAATGGAAAGATTTCATTCTTTCATGGTTAATTTCTTTATGCAGCATCTGCAGTTTTCTCTGCTTCCAGCAATCATTTTCATGCATATCTTTATAGAGATCTATATTTCTATAAGAAAATACATTTTTGTTCTGCCTGGAATTTAGGATGGTTCACATTGTGGATCCCTTGCTTTTATTTCTATTAGATTAAAATAGAATTTTCAGTAAATGCGTACCTGTCTTTTGTAGTCTATGATAGTACTGTCTAATACCAATGTTATGTGAGCCACATATACATTTTAAAATGCCATATTAAAAGTAGTAATTACAGATAAAATTAATAACTTTGTTTAATTCAGTGTATTCAAAATATTATTTGAACAGGTAATCAATATAAAAATTATTAATGAGATAGTATGCCTTTTGTATTTCATATTTTCAAAATCCAGTTTGTATTTGCACTTAAAACCTTTCTCAGTTTGGCCTAGTCACATTTCAAGTGCTTGGTAGCAACATGTGGCCAGTGGCTATGCTGTTGTGCAGTACAGGTCTAAAGAGTCAGAACAAATCTTAGTATCTGGATGGATAGAAAGATAAGAGATATTTATCTTCTATAAATTAGATTTATTTAGTGTAATAACTAGTTACCAATACCTAATAATGTGATCATCTTTATATGCCAAATGTGGACTTTTTTATTCATCGGAAAGTTAATTGGAGGAGCTATGCTGAAAACATTGGGTAAATAAAACTTTCACTATTTGGTTGCCCTTAACTGTATTGTATAATTGCATTTATTTTAATTGTATATACATGTTCATACTTTGTGAAGTTTCAGTATATGTCTGTAATTTGTAGCATAAATGCAGTTCCAACTACAGTGAAGACTTTGTGCTACAGTTAGAGAAGGAATTGGTCCAAGCTCGTTTGAGTGAAGCCGAGTCTCAGTGTGCACTAAAGGAGATGCAAGATAAGGTCCTGGATATAGAAAAGGTGAGAACAACATAAATGCCGTTACTCCCAAATTAGAGGAAATATGTGGTAGATATTTGTTAAGTACTTACTGAGCAGTTAAATTGGACTTTGTGTTTTTACACATTAGAAACCTTACATATTAGTTACTAAGAGGAAAGGGAAACAAAATATTCCTAATTGTTCTTTGCTGTTGCCATACTACTTCGAGTACTGTATTTTAGGGTAAAATGGACGTTAGAATTCTTTTAGAGGAAAACAACCAGGATAAATAATATTTAAATGTCGGAAAAGAGACGCTTAGAGGATAGAAAGTAAATAATATTTAAATGTCGGAAAAGAGACGCTTAGGGGATAGAAATTAAATAATATTTAAATGTCAGAAAAGAGACGCTTAGGGGATAGAAATTAACTGTTGTAATATCTTCATCTGTAAGAAGTCAGATATAATACATAAACATTTCAGGGAAAATTTCATGTGAGTGTAACTTGCGACTTTCCATGGCACAATAAGCCACCTCAGGATATACAGGAAGATCTTAGCCTGAGGTATTTTACAGAAGCTAATTTACCTCTTTTCAAGGTCACTAAAGAACTTTAAGGATTGAATAAGTAGTAGAAATAGAAACATTTTTAGGTTTCTTGTAACCGTCAGACTTGAGAGTCTGTTCTGGATCAACTCTGAATCTGTTTTCTCATCTATAAAATCATTGAGGGCTTAGGCTCTATGTTGAGTTTGTTCCTTTTACCGATGGGTAGTATCTAGCTATTGAATCAAAGGTTCATAAATAATGGACATGACAGACACAAGTTATTCTTAACTGTTTCTTAATGAAATAGAACAGGGCGCAACTCTTATCAGTAGTGGAATAATTTTGCTAGAAATCTGCTTGCTATTTTTATATTATTTTTGGAAAATTTATTCTATTTGTCCAAAAAAAAGCCAACAAAAATGCTGTGAGAAATGCATACAGAAAATTTGGTCTCTAACTTAGGAGTATTCTGGGCTCTGTGATTTAGATAGGAATCTGGATCTCTCCATTTTGAATATTTAGTACAAAGAAATGCCCTTGGGTCCAATTTAAAAATGGATTTCTTAAGTAGCTTTGTTGGTATTCATGGTATAGAGTAGAAAGGAAATTGAAAGGTTTCATGCTATCTATGGTTAATTTCTTCATGCAGGATTCTCTTTTTATGCAGATGCAGTCAATTTCTTGATTTCAATTGAGAAAATAAAGTCCATCATAAAAATGTGTAGTTGGCAAGAATATCCTTTATTCCATCATCTCTGTTGGCTAAAATTTTCATGTCCACCATGAATTATTTTATAGATAGAAAATTTCATAGATTCAGACCTTCATATTTCAGTAGTACCTGTTTATCTAAGGAACATTTTTTTTTTTTTTTTGAACTGGGGCCTAATTTAGGATCTCTTGGTCACTCCCCAGAGCAGTTTAATACAGGACTACCCTATATCCTAAGGTGAGTCTTTCAGTATGGTAGGAGAGTAATCTAATCTTATACCCTTGAAACAAATATTTAGATCATCTTGGTGTTAATTTAATGACTATTGATATAGTGACTAATATACTGAGATTTTATACCCCTTTCCAAAGCGACATGATGAGAAAACACAAGAAAACAGATTTTAGAACATTCTTTTCCATAAATTTTAAAAATGTAAATGATGTTTATGCTTCATTTGGAGTCCTATTCAGAGGTTAGTAAGTTTATTGCATGTTGAAAAACATTTTTAATCCTGTTGCTCTATAACACTGATTTAGTATTCTTTTAAACAAATAGACCTTCTGTATTCTCAAAATAAAGTACAATTACCCTCACACATTCCTGGGGGGCATGTAGAAGAGTACAGCTGCTTTGGAAAAGTTTGACCGTATCTTAAAAGTTAAGTGAGAATTGCCATCTGATTCAACAGTTCTCCTTGGTATAGACTCAAGAGAATTAAAAACATATGTCTACACAAAAACTTTTACTCAAATATTCATAGCAGCATTATTCATAATAACCAAAAAGTAGAAACAACCCAAATTTCTGTCGACTGATAATAAATAAAATGTGGTATATCTGTATAATAGAATGTTATTTGCTATCAAAAGGGATGAACCTTGAAAGCATGCTAAGTGAAAGAAGCTAATCATAAAAGACCACGTATTGTATGATTCCATTTATATGAAATGTCCAGAATAGGCAACTCCATAGAGACGGAAAGTAGATTAGGAGTGTCCAGGGGCTGAGAGAAGGGTAAATGTTGAGTGACTAGTAATGGCAATAGGGTTTCTTTTGGGGGTATTAAAATATTCTGAAATTAAATTGTGATGATGGTTGCGCAACCCTGTGAAAAACCTTAAAAACCACTGACTAGTGTACATTAAAAGGGTAAGTTTTATGGTTTGTGAATTATATCTCAATAAAACTGTATAAAATTAAGTATAATTACATATAGAACAAAATAACTCTTATTTATATATGCTGTATTTCATTGTTTAAATTTTAAAATCCCAAATTAAATTTTCTCTTGCTTTAGAGAAACAACTCCTTTCCTGATGAGAATAACATTGCAAGGCTTCAAGAAGAACTCATTGCCGTGAAACTGAGAGAAGCAGAAGCTATTATGGGTTTGAAAGAACTTAGACAACAAGTCAAGGATTTAGAGGAACACTGGCAGGTATATCAATATATTTTATGTGATTTTTAAAAAGAGTGTCAAACCTGAATATCCAGTTTGTATGGGTTTGAAGTAACTGATGACCAACACTAGGATATAAATTTAAAATGAGAAAACCCGTTTAATGTACAAAATTGAGAGTGTTTATAAATTGAAAGTACCTTTAAGCTGTTTCTACCTTGTTTAACTCTTATAATTAAAGGAAAGATAAAACAGAGATCAACTTATATTTTTTGTTGTTGTTATACCATTGTAATTTATATAACTTTTTCTAAAAAACTATAAGAAAATAATCTTGTATATAGTATATATTTCTTTTATTGATATCTGTTTTTCAATGTGAAATATCAGAAGGCTAACACTAATATAAATTTTTCTATAACTTTGTAATTTGTTTTGAAAACTAATTATCTCATAAAATAAATCAGACATTTTGCTAGTTATATGCCAACAAATTTACTTACATACGAGGCAGAGAACAAACAACCAGAATCTATAAGACAGAAGAGAGAGAGGGAAGAAAACAAAAACTACATGGCATAATGATCTCGGTGTGGATTTGGGGTAGGTGATCGGTCTAGCAAAGACTGAAATTAGTTCTTGACATTGCTGTGGCTTTTTTTCCCCCCAAAATAACTGATGACCAACACTAGGATATAAATTACAGGCAGCACTAAAGTGGAAATTAAAAAGAAACAAAACTGAACCTTCATCGCAGATATTTTGAGACTACTCTTAATTTCTAATATTGCCTCCTTAATTCATGAATAGTTCCATTTTTTCCATTTCCTTACGACTTTGTTAAAAATAATGTGAAAACCTCTCATAGTCCTGGGCCTGAAATAATTGCTCAGTAATGTTAGCTCTTATTTTGATACTGACAATATTTGTTGCAATATAATTTTTTGTTTTAGCGCCACTTAGCTCGTACTTCTGGGAGATGGAAAGATCCACCTAAGAAAAATGCTGTGAATGAGTTACAAGATGAACTGATGACCATTCGTCTTAGAGAAGCTGAAACACAGGCAGAAATAAGAGAAATAAAACAAAGGATGATGGAAATGGAAACACAGGTATGATGGAAAGCCCAATAACTTTAAAAATACCTTGAGCAGACCAAATGTTTATGCACAGATGTATCATCCCTAGACAAGAGCTAAAAGGTGTATATATGAAACTGTCTAGATTGCAGTTTTCTAGCCCAAATAAAAACGGCTAAAATTTGTGTTCTTTGATATCAGATATTTAATGTCTTTGACCCATTCAACAAAATGTAGGCAAGTCACAAAACTCCATTTAACTTTGTTGCCTATTGTACAATTTGGGAGAGAATATTCTTATATAGCAAAATTCCTCCACCTAAACACTGTTGACATTTTGGACCAGATAAATCTCTATTGTAGGGACTGGCCTTTGCATTTTAAGATTTTTAGCAGCATCTCTGGTCTCTACCTACTAGATGCCAGTAGCACCATGTGTCTCCCTTTTCCCTACCCCACGTTGTGATGACCAAAAGTGTCTCCACACATTACCAGATGTCCCTTGGGAGGGGCAAAATTGCCCCACTTGAGAATCACTGATGTAGAATATAATGTGAACGATGCTTCCTAAAGTTGTGTAATGTGGTGACTGAGCAGTCAATTCCAAAATTATGATTCCTTCTTCTCAAGTTCCCCTATCCCTAATAAACCCTATCTTAAATATACTTGATTTAAGATCTTAAAAGTCCTTTATATGAAATCCGTTTGCAGTATAACAGTACATTTGGTACATTTGGTTATTATATATTTGTGTAGACTGTTTTCTCCCTTCTCTGTAATGTTAGTTCATTTTCACAATACTTATTCAGTCAGTAGGGGGCATAGTTAACTCATGTATCGTTCTGTATACCTACATGCAAAAACCGATCATTCCAACTTAAACGTGATAAAATGAATATGTAAATACTTTAGAATAGAAATACTTTGTTTTATGTTGTTCAAAGTTATTTTCTAATAATTAAAAATAATAGTAAGATAATGACAAGTAGAAATCTAGCTTTTATAATGGGAAGTTTTATTTTTATAATCAAATTTTATCTCAGTATAGATATTAAAGATGCAAACATGGCTTTTAAGCCACGTTCAGGATTTATTTCAGAGTGGGTGTAGGTGAATGAATCAAATCAACAAACGTGATTTTGAGAACTTGTGAATACAAAGTACTGTCCAACCTTCAAAAATCTTATAGTTGAGGAATCAGGCTATTCATAAACTATATTAAATATAATTCACCATATGAGTTGATGGACGTTGACTAGATTTATTGTGATAAGCATTTTACAATATATGTAAGTCATATCATTATACTGTACACCTTAGACTTATGCAGTGCTGTATGTCAGTTATATTGATAAACTAGAAAATATATAATTCAGAAATCTAGTAATTAGAGAGTTAGAAATTACTATGAAGACTAGGAGGAAAAAGTTAATTCCAACGAGGTGGTTTAGGGGAAGGCTTTCTGAGGAATTTGTATTTTGAATTGTGCCTAATGAGTGTGAATTTGGATGGATTTTGCTGGAAAAAGAATTGTTCCTAAGTGCCAGTGCTTGAACTGAGGATGATCCATGAAGTTTTCTCATTGCAAAATAGAAAAATAACTAAAAACAGTGTTGTGTAATGGTAATGCTATATTAGTCATCAAAAGAGTTTTATATATCAAACACCCATGTATCCAACACATAGATTAAGATGTGTCCTTGAATACATACACTCCAGTTCCTTCATTTTTAGTGACTTGTAGAAAAGTCCACCTAGGGAGTATACTTCAGTTTATTGAGCCGCATTCCTCTTTGTACCAATATTTGCTATTATAAATAGTGCTGCTCTGAGTATTCTTGCACTTGGTTCCTTTAGTATGTTTCTAAGAGTTTCTTCAGTACAGGTTTTTTTAAAAAAAAAATTTTCTGTGCCAAGAACCCCTTTGGCAGTCTGTAGCCTGTGGACCCCTTCTCAAAATAATGTTTTTACCCCTTCTCAAAGTAATGTTTTTAATGCATAAATTAAAATACACTTCTTCTAAAAAGACATACAGACAGCCAGCAGGCATATGAAAAGATGCTCAGCTTCATTAGCTATTAGGGAAATGCAAATCAAAACCACTGTGAGATACCAACTTACATCTGTAAGAATGGCTGTTATCACCAAGGCAATAACAAGTGTTGGAGAGGTTGTGGGGGGAAAAGGAACCCTCATACACTGCTGGTGGGAAGGTAAATTGGTTACAGCCACTACGGAAAACAGTATGGAGGTTCCTCAAAAAAATAATAGAATTACCATATTAACCAGCAATCTCTCTTCGGGGTATCTACCCAATGTATTTGAAAACACTTATCCGTAAAGATATATGCGGCATTATTCATAGTGGCCAAGACATGGAAATAAACGAAGTGTTCTTCGATAAATAATGGGATAAAGAAGATGTGGTACATATATACAATGAACTATTACTAAGCCTTAGAAGATGAAATACTGCCATTCTCAACAGCAAAAGTTGAGAACCATATGATTTCACTCATATGTGGGAATATAAAACTGAAAGCAACAAACAAACAAGGCAAACAAATAAACAAAAACTCATAGACACAGACAACAGTTTAGTGGTTACCAGAGGGAAAAGGGTCAAATGTATGGTGACAGAAGATTTGACTTTGGGCAGTGAACACATAATACAATATACAGATGATGTATTATTGAATTGTACACTTGAAACCTATATAATTTTATTAACCAATGTCACCCCAATAAATTTAATTTAAAAATGAAATACATAAGATTGCAAAGCAGAACAGTTATATTGAGGTACAGTTATTAAAGTGCTAAAAAGCAAACAAATTTGTGACATAGAACACATACACAGAGACATATACAACACATTCCCATTGCTGGATTCAGGTTTTTAATACTTCAGATTTTTCGTACTTAAGTTAGATTGTACTATAACTTTCCTTCTTGGGGAGATTCTTACCTGGCTTTAGTACCAAGGTTATAGTAAGCTTAGTGAATGAGTTGGGTTGTATTTTATCTTTTTCTGTTCTCAGAAATTTTATTGTGAGATTGGAATTACTCATCGCATGAATATATACTGCAATTTATTTCTTTAAACAGTCTTCTTTTGTGAGAATAGTAACTATGGGTCCTAATTGTTCAAGAGGTATAAATCTTTTCAAGTTTCCTGTGTCTTCTTGAGTCTGGTTTGGTAAAATAAAGCAAATTTCTACAAGACTTCAAGAAAATAAAGAAGATGCAAAGAAATTCTCTTAGGAATAAAAAGGGACATAAATAGAGATCCAGTGAAAATACTTTAAAAAAATATTCTTGGAACAACTTTAAGTGATAAATTTGAAATTTGAAAAGTTAGATGGAATGGATAGTATCTTTAAGGAAATATGATATGACTTGAGTGTTTTTGTTTTTGTTTTTTTTTCCTCTGAGCTTCTTGGACCTGGGGATTTGTGTCTGCCATGAAATTTAGAAAACTTTTGATCCTTATTTCTCCAAATATTTCTTTTGTTTCAAACTGTCTTTTTTGAGGATTTCAGTTACATGTACGTTTGATTGTTTAGTGTCCAGCAATTCTTGGATGCTCTGTACTCCCCTACCCTCTGCTCATTATTTTTTTCTCTTTGTATTTCAGTTTCTATTGCCTGAAATATTTTTGTCAACTGATAATTAAGTTACTGATTCTTTCTTCTACTTGGTGGATTGTCTGGTGAACTATTAATGGTATTCTTCACATCAATTACTGTGTTGATCATTTCTAACACTTCTATTCTTATAGTTTTCATTTCTCTGCTGATATTATTACCTATCTAATCTTGCATGTTTTTCACCTTTTCCTTAGAGCTTTTAGCATATTAATCACAGTTATTTTAAATTCCCTATGAGATAATTTCAACATCTGTCGTATATGAGGCTCGTTCTGTTGATTGCTTTGTCTCTTGGTGCAGTGTTTTGTTTTTCTTACCTTTTCCTATGCTTTGTAATTTTTTTGTGAAAACTGGATATCTTGTGTAGGACAGTAAACTAAGATAAATATTTTTTATGCCTGGAAATGGGCACACCTTTTCTTCTGCTAGCATGTTAATGTGGGGGATTTGAGTTAATATGGTCAGGAGCTGAGCTGGGTTTGAGGTTTGTCGTTTCTGTGGTTACCTCATTGTACCACAGGCTTCAAATTCCTCTAGCAGTATCTTATTTTTAGATTGGGGGCTGGTTTGCCAAAGGGTTTTCTCAATGTCTGCAGGTCTTTCCTTTGTACAACGCTTCAAAGAGGTTCGGTCTCCAGCAGTATTCCACTGTTACCTGTTACAGGAAGTTGGAGGGACAGAGAACACCTCTGCCCTATTGTTCTGATATAGTCTCGATCAGGCTACATTGTATCCCTGGATCCTCTGTTTATGTCTAATAATTTTAAACATAAACTTATATTAAGTCTCTGATTTTATTATCTAGAGTTCTTACAAATCTATTCTTGCTCTCTTTTAGTCTCCTGTTCCTCACTCGTAGTCATTTCTTGGGTTTTATTTATGTATGATTGTTTTGTGATTTTGGATCATGGAATTGTATTCAGGGGTGCAGGAAGGAGTTTTATCTGTGGGAATTCTTTGCAGCTTATATTTAAGGTATGTACCTCTGAAGTGTAATTATTTGTTTTAGTGGTAGGAGGCAAGACAGTAGAAAGACTCGTAGACATTTTGAGTACAGTACTAAGGTGCTCTTAATTTTGTAGACAGACAGTATTCATTGATTAAAAAATGAAAAAGAAAAGAGTAATATAGACTGACCTCAAGTCAGTCATTTCAGGGAATATGTGTATGTGTTTTATTTAGCATGCCTTATAATACACTAAGCAGCTAGCATTTATTGAGTTCTTACTATACATTAAGCTTGTTACGTGTATTATTTAATTCTGAAGACCACCAAATGAGAAATAAGTAGTATTTTTTATACATTTTTCAAATGAGGAAATAAATACTCAGAGATATTAACTAATTTGCTTAATCACCCAATAACAAGCCAGAATTCAAAATCAGTCCATGCTCCATAAAAATAGACTCTGCTGTGCATTGGAGGAATGTAGATACGTACATGAAACATTTCCTGACATCAGTAAATGTTGATGGTACCTTTAGTCAATCTGTGCTTTATTTTGGGAATTGGAAAGAGGAGCTAAATTCATCATCTTCCTGTATCTGCCCACTTTGTACCACATTGCTTATTTCAGAGATTTAATACTTTTAAGTTTTATGTAAGCACTCTTATAGTTTACAGATATTTATTGTATAAATGGTAAATTGAACTATAATGGGAGTTTCTGATATAGACCTTTTGTATTCTTTTGGGTGATTTGATTTTAAAAGCAACTTTATAATTTTTTTTAAGTTTTTAACTATTTGTTGAATAAAACTGACCTATAACTAATAATAACAGCAATTTTTATAATGTTGTATAGGCATGAAAAGGGTAGGTAGAAATAGAAATTTTTTTCAGGCCTTTTCTCTATATAATCTGAGTATTTATATTTTTAATTATTAGAACCAGATCAACAGTAACCATCTTCGAAGAGCAGAACAAGAGGTGATCAGTCTACAGGAAAAGGTGCAGTATCTTTCTGCGCAGAACAAAGGACTGCTTACTCAATTAAGCGAGGCGAAGCGCAGACAAGCAGAGATTGAATGTAAGGTAAATAAATCAACTAGCTAGGTTTTTTTGTCAATATAAAATGCCTTTTTTTGTACTGTCTCATCATTGATTACATTATCTTAAAACCAAATAAAGCCAAAAGATGCTAGTTTTGTTTCCCACTTTTCTTGATCTTGATTTTCTTGAACTTGCTTTCAGACCAGGTTAGCTCATCTTTCTCTGAGGTGGATTTCTGGCAGGAAACCTCATTTTCAACTACTCGGTTAAATGCCAGTGCAGGAAATTAAGTTAACTAACTGGTTAAAAACTTGTATTGCTTTACAGATTTTCTTTTGACCTGTAGTCCTTTAAAACAGAAGCTTTTAATGTCTCAACCAAAAAAGATAAGTATTTTAAAGAGGTTGGGGCACCTCCGCTTTGTTAAGTACCTTATAGTGACTAGTTCGCAATCATATTGACATGTGTTTTCAGAATAGAGGAGAGAGCTAAAGAAGTGTATGTGTACCAGTGGGTTGAGAAAATTTTATACATTTCCCATTATTTTAATCAGTTTTCCTTTTTTTATGAAGTATTTGGATTCATAAAGTATGAAAAATTATTTGAATGCAAGTACATTTTTTCTCAAATAAATTTACAGTATTAACAGTGGTGAGAGAGAGGGGGGATGGAAGTGGGGTGGAAAGAGACGGGGTATGTGTGTGAAATAACTAAAGAGATGACTGTGGTCTGAGAGTTAGAATGGATTTCTGAAGACAAGTTATGGGATTTTAAAAATAAACTAAACATCCATCTTTCCTTGGTGAGATAGTAAGAATGATGCCCTTTAAGGATTTCAGCCTTATTATTCTGTGATAAGAAATAAGACTTTCAATGGCACATATAAAGCTGTAATTCCATCAACTTCTTCTGGTGTCATTAAAAACCAAGAGTGAAGCTTGAGTGGTTTATCAGTGTCACTGAAATCCAGAGATGAAATTACATCCTAATAAATATGCATGGCTGTTACAATTTACACAGACAGAAATCTGTAGACAGTGCTGAACTTCATGCTAACTTAGGAGGAGCTCTTCTTGAAGGATATGACTAAACTAATTTAGAAATAAAATGATGTGGCATGAAGTCATAGCAGTTTGATTTGTTGTACTAATATCTGACTTTTTATTATGCTATAATGTCTGTACTGACTTATATTTAATAGAGAACTAAATTTAATCTTTTTTCATTTTTGGTCTAACTTTTCCTTAAAATACTGTTACTGGATTTAATGTTGCTCCTCAAATGCCTTAGCACCTTTAAATCAAGGTAAAGTGTTCTTGGGAAATAAATATTTGGAGAGTTTACTGATGAAAATAATTGTTCTCTTTGAATTTATCTAAGCAATGGGCTCAGATTCAAAATTTTAGAGAATTTAAAGAACTGTTTTGAGATTTAAAAGATTTTTTAATTGTTTATTAATACAGCTGTGAAGTATATTACAAATGCTGACTCATATCTCCCCTGTGTTTAAGCTGTATATTGATTTATTCAATTTTTTATAATGCTTTTGCAGATTTTAAAAATGACCAGTGTATTGTCACTCTATCACCTGTACATTCTGATTAATTGTATTTATTTTACCTTGTTACATTGCAATAATTCAGGAACTAACTTAACTTTCAAGGAAGTTAGCCCTTCCATTAAGTAACTCTGATTCATTTTCATTTAGTTTTATATAACTATAGCTTAAGATTTGTTGATAAGTAATTATTAAAGTTCATTTTATTTTTCATTTATATAAAATGTTAGGATGCTGTTCTACTATTAACTTTATTTTCCCTCTGTAACTGAATTTGAATATCTCACTTAAAGATGAAATAGTACAAGTCAATGGTCCAAATTCATCTGGAAGCAAAACCTGATTTGAATTGATATATGGCCATTTATTATTTTTATTTAGCCCACTTGTATGGGTATTTATACTTAACTGCTTCATTGTGTTGAGCATCAAAATATACAGTTTCATTATGGATGCTGCCTGAGATCCCACTGAAAAAGACTAATATATGGTTTATACACCTTATTACTTTTCTAAAATCTAAAAAATTTGACATTCCATAACACACCTGGCTCCCAAGACTTTAGGAATGAGATTGTGGGATTTTCTACATAAATCTAAATTTGAAGATTAGAGAAATATTTTATATTCTCTAGTTCTGTCTGTCTGTCTGTCTGTCTCTCTCTCTCGCTCTCTCTTTCTCTCTCTCTGTGTGTGTGTGTGTATATATATATATATTCATGAGAAAAGTTATATTAATTTCTATACAAACTTGTGAAATTGTGTAATAAATAATGTTAAGTGAGGAAAATCAATCAAAGCATTTTACTATAATTATAATATTATAACACCCCTGTTCCCTTCTATCTCATTCCCTTCCTGGCCCTACCACATACCCTTTCTTTTATTTTTTTTCAGGTAATGCTTTTATTATTTTCTGATATGTCCTTTTAGAATTTCTTTTAGGCAAATACTAACAAATAAAAGTGCGTAATTTTTCTTCTTACTTTCTTATGTGAAAGCATACTATATGTTTTGCTTTTTGTTTTTGTCATATGTTTTATAGAATCTTAAATATCAGTCCTTAAAGAGTCCTCTCATTAGTTTTAAGGTACACTGTTTTCTTTTGCGTGGATATACTATAGGATACTTAACTGGGCCCTTGTTCATGGGCAAGTAGGCTGTTCCCAGTTTTGCTACTACAAGCAGAGTATAGTGAATAACATTGCACACATATAATTTCAGATGTATAGAAGTATATCTACACTTTCTATGGGATAGATTCCTATAAATTTTATTGTTTGGACAAAGGATAAGTAACATTTTTGCTTTTCATAGATTTTGTCAAATTATCCTCCTTAGGATTGTACCATTTTGTACTTTGACCAGTAGGCATGATAGTTTCTTTTTCTTCATTGTGTTACATACAAAGCGTGTAGACAAATCTTTTCATTTTAAATAGGTGTAATTTACGTATTCTAGGACAGTGATTCTCAAAGAGATGAGGAGGAGGTAAGATTGGAGGCTTCAAATAATGATGGCATCTACCTATATATTTATCAAATATTTGGGTGTCTTCTCTTTGTCAGTTATTCTCATAGGCACTGTGGATACAGTAGTGAAGAAGGTGAGCATAATGTTTAGTGAGACAATAAGTAAAAAATAGATAAGATTATTACTAATGGTATACTGTACAATGGGAGTTAAGGGGAAGTGGTAATAAAGATTGAGTGCCAGAAGATGGTTTCAGAGCTAGGACCTGAAGAGTAAGAATCAGCCTTGTGAAGAGCCATGGGACAATCCCTGCATGAAAAGGGTCACAGAGTTCAAGACCCAAAAGTAGGAAAGACCTTGGTTGCTGAGTCTTGTGTATAATGAAAGGCTTAATAAATTAAAGCCAGAGAGGTAGGCTGGGATTCCACTTCTTACTGCCATGTAAATTTTTATAGCCCATGGTAACAAGTTTGGGTTTCACTTAAAAGTACTATGGGAAGCCAATGAAAGGTTTTAAGTGGGAAAGCAACATTTTTTTTTTTTCTGTTTTACTATATTTGCTTCAGATTTTCTTACTTTTGATTTTGAAATAATTTTATGTTTAAAGAAAAGTGGCAAAAGTAGTATAGAGAATCCCCATATACACTTTAATTAGCTCCTCCTAATTTTAACATCTTACATAACCATAGTACATTTATCAGTAGTAAGAAATGAACATTGGTGCAATGTTATCACTAAACTACAGACTTTATTCACATTTCCCCCATTGTGTCTCAATCTTCTCTGATTTGTAACAGCTTCTCAGTGTTTTCTTATCTTTCATTACATTGACTATTGAAGAATACTAGTCAGGTATTTTTGTAGAATATCTCGCAATTTGGGATCATCTGATGTTTTCTCATGCTTAGACCAAGGTATTTTAGGAAAGAATACAGAGATGAATTGTCTTTCTCAGCATATCATATCACGAGGCATATTGTATTGATATATATTACTTCTAGTGCTGTTAACCTTGTCATTTGATTAAGTTGGTGTCTGCCAGCTTTCTCCATTGCAAAGTGCTTTCCTCTCAGACTCTGTTCATTGCAAGCAAGACAGTAAGTCCAGTCCATGGTTCAAGGTGAGCATTAAGCTACAACTCCTGAAGGAAAGAGTCTCAAAGGATTTGTGGACGTATCTTAAAAATACCACAATAATTATATATTCAGTGGGAACTGTTTTGAGGCTGTGCAAATATCCTTAAAGTTTCAGCAACTAATTCTAGCATTTATTAGGGGATGTTGCTTTAGCAATTACTGTAATTACTTTTTTTTAAAGGACTAGATGCCACTGTGTGTGGAAATGGATTTAAGGTGGAATGGGAGAGAGATTTGAGGATAGAGACGCTAGCTTTGGTCTCAGGAATTGGCAGTGGAGCTAAAGAGAAATATGTCAATTCAAGATCTATTTTTCTAGAGAACGATAAGACTTGATGATTAGATTTGAGGGGGACAATATTAGGGGGAAATTGATGCCTATATTTTTGGTTTTGTACTTAATAAAATTTTTTATACAATGGTAACTAATTTTATATATAATTAGTAGATTATAAATGTATTAGTTATCTATTGCTATTTAACACATCACCTCTAAAACTAATAAGCACTAATATCTCAGAGTTTCTGTGGTTCAAATTCAGGAGCAGCTTAGCTAAGTGGTTCTTAAGGATATGTAGGAGTTAGTCAAGGAAAGGTAACAGAGAGTTCAGTAGGTAAAGGGAATAGCTTTTGTGAAGATTAGAAGTGAAAAAGAACATGTCGTTTGAACTAAAAGAAGTTCATTCTAGCTGGAGGTGAGCCTGGAAAAGAATACTGGTAAGACATGAACCTGGATCCAAATCATACAGCGTCTTAGACACCAGTATAGGGACCTGGAACGTTATCTCAAGATTTGAGGAGTGCCATTAAAGTGTTTAAAATAAGGGAGCGACAAGACAAGATTTGAATTTTATTAAACATAGACATTGGTGTACTGGAGCCAACTAATAAAGGGTTATAAGAACCATTTCTTAAATTTTCGGGAATTTTGTGGCACAGTTGTTAAGCAGCCATATTAAAATTGTTATATAACATAATTATGGTAGAGCAAAGGTAATAAACAGTCAGATTTCATCACTTCTTGATTATTTTTGCATTTCACTATTATCCGTGCTTTTGAAGTTATTTATACCTGTTTTAGCAGTATGGTGGAAACACCATAGTGTGCTACTGCATATTTCTTCCCAACTCAGTATTTCATACATGTTATGTTGGCAGCTTAAAAGAAACCATGGTAGAAATATTTATATGACATAAATTGGCAAACTACATATCAGGGCTTGATTTATTGTTTTGTTGATTGTGTAGACCAGGAGTTGGCAAACTATAGCACATAGCTCAAATCTGCCTGGCTGCCTGTTTTTGTAAATAAAGTTTTATTGGAATACAGCCTTGTTCATTCATTTATGTGCTGTCTATGGCAACTTTCACACTCCAGCGGCATATAGAGAAGTTACCATAGACTGTATGGCTCTCAGGTCTAAAATATTTACTGTCTCTACGGCTGTGCCACCCTGAACACACCCAGTCCTATCTGATCTTGGAAGCTAAGTAGGGTTGGGCCTGGTTAGTACTTGGATGGGAGACTACCTTGGAAGACCAGGTGCTGTAGGTGTAAAAAATAATAAAATAAAATTAAAATAAAATATTTACTATCTGGCCATTTAAGGAAAAGTTTTTGACTCTGTTCTAAATTAATAATGCAGATTAAAGCTTAAGAATGTGTTGTACCTTCAGACTTTACATTGTGAATAGCACAAAATATTAAGGAGATTTTCTTCTTATATTTAGTTACTATTATCAAATCAGCAAAAACTTGCTCCCATCATTGACAAATAAGTGAAATTCTAACACAAGTCTTCATTTCACTTTCATCTTCTAACATAAACAAAAATACTTAACCAGTGTTCATATCAATACTTTACTTATTCCTCAATTTCAGCCATAGGTAGCTTATGGATACAAGAGTTTGGCAAAAATAAATGAAAGCATTTTGTAAGAATATATTGACTAGATAAAATTTACAATAATGAGTATTGAATATCTTATCATATGTATGTTTCAAACTGTACATCCTTTATATCAGTTTATTATAAAATATGTATAAATTATAATAAACTTACATAAACACACATGTGTGTACAAATACACACATACGCACACACATGCATGCATGAACACTTCTACCTGAGAGCTGGTTGTTAAGTGTTTATCAGCACAACACTGGGTACAGAAATTACATGTTCTGGCCGTATGCACATTTGCAAGGTATTTAAAGCAGTATTTGCTTGAAGTGAAGTACCAATATCATATCTGAGGTACAAGAATATAAATTTTCATTTAAAAGCTTAATTATTATACTTTTACTACATTTAATATTTTTAAAATTTTTGATATTAAATTTTGATATTATATGATATTACTGTTAGGTGCTAAATTTCTTGGATGGTCACCATGTTACACATTCTTGATACTAAGTGATTGGTAAATTTCAATTGAAGTTAATGGAGGAGCAAATATTTTTGTATGCCCTATTTTTCTCTACCATATTTTCTTCATATTTTGTTATTTCTGGATCAATATTATTTAGCATAAATATTATAAAATATGGTTTAAGAGTTTTTCCTTTGTGAAGTTTTGAGGTGGTAGAGATACATTAATGTAGAATTGTGATATAATTAATATTTATTATTATTTGTAGTATAATGTAAATAGTCATTGACATACTGTATTAGTATCCATATTCTAATGTTTGTTTTCCTAGTTACTTATGTGTTAAAGGTTCTCAATCATTATTCTTGCAATGAAAAAATTAACAGCTTTCACAATCCCTAATAATTTTAAGTTAATTTTTGATTGTAAACATTTGGGCAATATTTATATGAGTAGTATTTCTTAATATTTAAAGATGGAATGCTATTCTGTATTCTTCATATCAAGTTCAGGAAATAATGGCTTTTTCTCTCATTTAATCATGGGTTTATTTGTTATTTTCTAAATTTTGAGACAGATTTCAACTATGTTTTGTTTATTATTAGTTTGGTTTATTATATGGTTTATTATTGGTTTATTTTGTTTGCTACCCTAGAATAAGGAAGAAGTGATGGCTGTGAGACTCCGGGAAGCAGATAGCATAGCTGCTGTGGCTGAACTGCAGCAGCACATTGCTGAACTTGAAATCCAGGTACCATATGAAAATAATTTTATATATAAATAAATAGTCTCTTCTTCCCTCTGTACCTGAACAGTGACTTATATCTTTACCCTGATGACTGCGATCCTATTTTTAAAACTTATTCTTTTCCAAGTCCATTCTTTTTATTGTGGTAAAGTACACATAACATGAAGTTTTCCATTTTAAAGTATCCAGTTCTGTGACATTAGTACATTCACAGTGTTGTGCAGTCAATCTTTCATCTTGCAGAACTGAAACTCTATATCCATTAAACAACAACTTCTCATTCTCCTCTTCCCCTAGCCCCTGGAAACCTCCATTCTACTTTCTGTCTCTGAATTTGACTACTTTAGGTACCTCATATAAGTAAAATCATACAGTATTTGTCTTTTTGCGATGGCATATTTTATTTAGCATAATGTCACTACGGTTCATCCAAGTCGTAATACGTGTCAGAATTTTCTTCCTTTTTAAGGCTGGATAATATTGCATTGTATGTGTATGCCACATTTTGTTTATTCATTTATCTGTTGACGAACACTTAGGTTGTTTCCACCTTTTGGCTGTTGTGAATAATGCTGCTATGAACATGGTGTACAAATATCTGTTTGAGTCCCTGCTTTCATTTCTTTGGGGTGTATTCCCATAAGTGGAATTGCTGGATCGTGTGGTTATTCTATGTTTAATTTTTTGAGGAATTGCTATACTGTTTTCCACTGCAGCTACACTACTTTCTTCACATTCCTACTAGCAAAGCACAAGAGTCTCAATTTCTTCACATCCTCACCAACACTTACTAATTTTCTTTTTTTTTATAATAGCCATCATAATAGGTGTGAAGGGATATCTCATTGTGGTTTTGATTTGCATTTCCCTAAAGATCAGTGATGTTGAGCACCTTTTTATGTGCTTATTTGCCTTTGTATATCTTCTTTAGAGAAATGTCTATGCAAGTCCTTTGCCCATTTTTTAATCAAGTTGTTCTTGAGTTTTAGAAGTTCCTTATAGAATATTCTCAATGTCAATCTCTTACCAAAAATATGGTTTACGAATATTTTCTCCCGTTCTTTGGGTTGCCTTTTTGCTTTGTTGTTATCGCCTTTTGATGTACAGGTATTTAATTTTTTTGAAGTCAAATTTACCTATTTTTTTCTTTTTTGCCTGTGTTCCAAGTCCATTTTTGAATGACAGTTTATCATATGTCTATATTGTCAAAGCTATTTTCAAAAGAAAATTTAAAGCTTTAAAAATAAATGTTATGTCACTACGTATGTCCTACTTCTTATTGTACAATATAAGATAATACATTTCCAATATGGGCAAAGCATTATGTTTAAAATCTTATTTCTTTCACAATTTTTTATTATGTTCTCTTCCAAGTCATAAATACAGTTTTCTTTGCAACATCTAGAATTTTTTCCCACCTGAAAGGTCCTTTTGTCTTTAAATTTCAATTCAAAATTCAGTTAATTTCTAAGACTTACATATTATATTATAACCTCATCTTTTGATCTTAGTCAATATGTTATCACAATTCATTATGACATATAAGTTTACAAAACAGTACCCTTTATGTTCTGTTGATAATATTTCCACAAAGTAGCACATATTTAGAAAAACTTCAGATATGCATAATGTATTTGTAATTAGCTATTTAAATCATACTGTCATGCAATTCTAGTTTAGTCTGTACTTTCCTAACATCAAGAAAATTATAGTTTTGCCACATTTCTATATATCTTAGTCACAAAATAGCAAGGTTTAAATCTTTTTCTTGATTCCGAAATCCTTACTAAAATGAAGAACTTGGTATGATGAATGTTTTGTTTAAAATGAAATATACCATGTCATTTTTGAAAAACAAAAGAAAATCATGTAATTTTTCCTATCAATGACAGTATGCTAACATCAATTGGCACTTGATTAAGTGATAACTGGAATCCTCATTGCCAAATTCATTGGTATTTTTTTAGTATTTATCCTGCTTGAGCTTATCTCATTCGTCATTATTGATCACTTGATCCTCTGCATTCTTCTCCTTCCTTGGCTTTCCTAACACCTCTAACTTTTGACCCTATTCTTTTTTGTTTAAATGTTGTTTTCTGTCTTCTCTATCAGTTCTGAATGTTTGTATTCTGAGAACTTGATTTTTCGGCTTTTTATAAACTATTCAAATGACGAGTCTCACTTACATGTCTTTAGGAACCATCTTTACAACAATGAATCCCATAGAACTTCAGCTCTAGCGTCAGTAATTTTTAAAAACATAAAAAAAAAATTATTAATGTAATATACAGAGAAGTGCATAAACAAGGCAAAATTATAATATATATAAAAACATTATACATATGACCACTGTAAAGAATGTTGCCTGTACCCCAGAATTCTACCCAATCACACCATACTCTCTTATTCTGAATTTTACGTTAATTTTATGATAATCATAAAATTTATGGTGATTACCATAAAACTCCTTATAGTTGTGTCATCTTTGTATGCATCTCTGATCCACACAGTTTAGTTTTCCCCATTTCTGAATTTTGTATAGTCATATTGGATATTTTCATTTTTGTCTCTTCATTCTTTGTTCAACATTATTTTTATTTATCTTTAATTTATTTTTTGGGAGGTGACATCGATTGACAAAATCCAATAAGTTTCAAGTGTACAACAGTAAGTCAAATATATATTGCATCGTGTGTTCACCACCCATAGTTAAACATTATTTTAGTAAGTCATTTTTATTGTACATGTTCCATTTTATGAATTTATTACAATATATTCATTCTAGTATTAGTAATCATTTGGGAATTTCTAGATTGGAACTATTATGAACAATGCTGTTATAAGCAATCTTGTGCTATAACTATGCTTATCAGATGTACACAAGTTTCTCTAGCATGTATACCAAGGTGTGGAATGGCTGGGTCATAGAGCATGCAAATCTTCAACTTTATTTTCCAAAGTGTTTGTACCAGATTAAGCTCCCAACAGCAGCATACAAAAGTTCTTGTTCCACATCCTCCCCCAACACTTAGTGGTGTCACATGTTTTAATTTGTGCCAGTCTAGTGGGTATGCAGTGATATTTCATCATGGTTTTAATTTCCATTGACCTGATTACTAATGAATTTGGCCATTTGGATTTCCTCTTTTGTAAAGTGTCTTTTAAATTCTTTTGTGTATATTTTTCTTTTGGGTTGTCTTTTTCTTAACGGATTTGTAGTTCTTTAATATTGATGTTATGTTTTGCAAACATCTACTGTTAGTCTTTTTTTGTTGTTTATTTTTAAATTTATTGTGTCTTTTGATGTATAAACCAATAGTTTTAATGGACAGTAGACAGCTCCACCTGCAGATTGTACAGACATTTAAAGTCAACATGTTTAAAATCAAATGGGTTCCTATTCCAACCCATTTTTCTTCTTTTGTATCTTAGTGGTATCATCTACTATTGAATTATTCAAACTAGTAGGAACTTCACGTATGCTTTTCTTATCCTCTGCCGAGTATACCAGGGCTGTTACATAGAGTATGCAAATTTTCAGCTTTACTAGACAACATCCAATTGTTTTACAAAGTGCTTGTGCTGGTTAACATTTCTACCAACATTTTACCTGCTCATCTACTCTTGTAGATTTGCCTTCAGAAAATTCTTAGTAATTCATACAGATTAAAGTGTGTTTCCAGCTCTTCAATTCCTTCAAAAGATGAAAGTCCTGAGTAAATCTAAAACTAAATCAAAGGTAATTTTAATCATTTCAGAAACATTTTTTTTAATCTTTCCTAGCCTTTCCATTCCCCCTGCCACTTCCTTAATTCACCTCCTGGCCCCCCAACTATCGTAGTACCTTCCTATCTAATTTTCTTTTCTCCAGCCTCAGCTCTTTCACAAAACTACCAGAGTTATCTTTCTAAAACATAAAAACTTTTATTGACTGCCTTTTATCTACTAAATCACATAAAAACTCCTCAGCATAAAACGCTTACCTTTTCATTATTGCCCAAACCTGCATTTCTAGCTTCATCTCTCACCATTACCTCCCCATCTTCCCTACCCACACCCTACACACATAGACTGTCTTTTCAGATTTTTCACATTTTTTCAAAACTTTGTACCATTCTACACATCGCCATGTCTTCATAACTGATGTATTTTTCTGTATCCTCTACTTCTCTGCTTTTGAGGTATTTCTGCTTACTGAGTTCTCCTTGGCTAGCTTGCTATTAATATATTTAGTAAATGTGTTTTCAGTAAACATCTTAATGATTCAACTTTTACTCATTTATTTAATTATTTTATGCAGATTAAGATCCATAAATAGATCTTGTTGTGAAATCTGAAACTCCTTTTTCAATTCTAAGAATAATACATTTTAGGTTATTCTTAGTCAAGGAAATGTCTTAGAGCACTTTCAGATTCCACTAGGGGGAGAACTGAACTTAGTCAAACACTTTCCTACTTCAAGTCTCTTCAGATCAACCCTTCTAATTACTGTTGTTCTCTTGTGAATAAAATATTTCAAACTCTTCATTTAATAAGTTATATCATTATATAATCTGTTATTTGGTATAATTAAATACTGCTTTTTTAATGTAGTTATGAAAATTACACTTTTGTAAAAGCATATATAGATGTGGAACTACATTAGATGAAGAAATACTTATTTTTATAAATGCTGTAGCATTCTGTAGTACATATACTTATGAGGCTGAAATTTATAAAATTTGTTTCCGAAAATTCTTCAGTTAACCTGACACTTTTGTGATTTAAAATTCACAATCTTTCACATGTTATTGTTCTGAGATAAATACATCTGTAATATACTTAATATTCTTTATAATAATGCCTTCCCTCCCCCCCCCGCCCCCGAAAAACAGCTCATAGATGACCTTATATGAAAAATCTCACTCAGTGTCTTACGGGATTCCAAAAATTACAACCAAACTGGAAAGTGCAGAAAGTATTTGAGTTCCCTTTAAGACAGTTTTTACCCACCCCAAATAATG